CGCAGCCTCCTCCAAGCTTTGTTTTGGGAGGTTGTGCCCCACACCTGGGTGTCCCTGCGTGCCTCTAGCTCAGAAGCTCGTTTCTGGAGGAGCAGTGGCCTCCCGCTGCGAGCGTATCATCCCCGCAGGCTCGCTTCTCGGCTCCTGGCCGGAGCTTGAGTCTGGGGGAGGAGGGCGTGCTTGCAGCTGAAGCCTTTCCAAGAGCGCTCGGGACTTTCTTTTGTTCGCTTCTTCCAGTGCGTAGCTCTGAAGATGTTTGTGAGTTTGGCTAACAGCCTCTGTGTAAAGTTGGCATGGTTTCTTAAAGTTTGCTCTTCCTTTTGAATGGTTAGTAGTTGTGCAACAACCTCTCTACTTCAGCAATTTAGTGTGTAATCGGTTAGGAGATTACAGCATACTGATTACTAATTTTGTTTATGAGTTCTGCTTAGTGTGCCTCGGTAGTGGCTCTGTGACTTCATAACTCTGTCAAATGTATCCAGAATTGTTAATAAAGGCAGTAATTCAGCATAAAGCTCTCTACTGCAGATACCATTTCTGTAATAAATGCATATTTTAAAATAACTAACTTTTAATTGTAGCTATAGTCCTGATAACTTGGAAATGGATTGAGCTCAACAAAAACTGAACATTCAGAAGTGTGAGTAGTAGGAATAGATTCTGCACCTTGAGATGTAGCATAGGAAATCAAACATCATTTGAAGTAAATAGGCCATTAGCAGAGAAGTGATGGATATGGTTGCACAGCTGAGGAAGTAAAGCAGGCCGTGAGTTTACACAATAGAAATAATTCTGAAATAAGTGCATGCTTATGCATGTAACTTTTGAAGATAGTAGAGGTACGGATCTTGAGATATTGGATGAAAGAACTTGAGATACAGACTTAGGGTCTTGCAGACTAGCTTCTAGGCAGTCCTTGCCTGTAATCTTTTTTAACCTTGTTAAGTTCTAAAATGACTAATTCTAATAATGCTGTACAAGATCTGGGTGGGGTAGAGTTAACTTTCTTCATAGCAGCAGGTATGGTGCTGTGTTTTGGATTGTGGCTAAACGTGTTGATAACACACCGGTGTTCTGACTGTTGACAAAGGGTGGTTGCACACTGTGAAGGCTTTCTCTTTTTCCTCCTCAGCCCTCCACTCCCCTTGAGTAGGTTGGGGGTGGGCAAGAGATTGGAAGGGAGCACAGCCAGGACAACTGACCCAAACTGGCCAGACAGATATTCCCCACCATATAATGTCATGCTCAGCAGTAAAAAATGGGATAGAGGAAGAAGAAAGCAGGGGAGGTGGCTTCCAGGGTGGCCATTGTTCAGAGACTGGCTGGGGCACTGGTTTGCCTGTTGACTGTCTTTCTCTTGACGCGTGGGTTTTCTCACTTTTGCCCTTCCACTTTGGTGCACCTGGTACAGTTCTTCATCAATTAATCTGTTGAGATTAAGTGATGCTTTGAAAGTGATACTTTCAAGGAATAATATGGAGATGAGAGAGAGTATAATCTGTAGTGTGGCAGCAGAACCTAAAATGTTCTATTTGATTCCAAGAGTGAAGACAAGTGTTCCTTTCCATTTGGAAGGAATGAGGAACTCCAGGTGTGTTCTTTAGAGTTCTTCGACATTATGTTTTTGCATCTTTGTTGGCTGGGATCATCCCTGCCTTCTATTATTAGCAAATTAAGCTTGAGAGAACAGGTCTGGTTTGATGGCTGGCAAATTTTGTCTTTTCAGCATTTTAAATCTAATACTAGTTTGCATGCATGTCTTGACTTCACTAGATGTTCCACTGGAGACTTAGGTGAAATACTTGGTTAATTTTTCCTTGCAGACCTGCACCTCTGATGGACTGACGCTGTGGGAAGAACTGAAGACAAAGTGTAAAAAAAAAAATCATCCATCAGAAGTGTAAATGGAAGTCATTTTTAGTTAAGTCTCTGGATTTGAAGCTTCCACAGCTATGTTTCTCAACACTTTTGGTACCAAATTTGAGCTGTTGCAGGGGTACTATGGTTCTTCCAGCTCTATCAGGTTCTAGTTCAGGAAGAGTTAGGATTTTTGCTTGGACTTGCCACAAGATTTCTTTGTGCTTATCTCATTCCCCTTTTAATAGGCAAACCTTCTCTAGGGTAAGATAGAGTTTGGGGTTTTTTGTGTTTGTTTGTTTTTTTTAATTAAGATTTACTGTTCTTTTGTTGTTGTTTGTTCTCTTTTTGGATACAAACTTACAGAGAGCAAGATAAATGAAAAAAACAGTAACCAGAGAACATTTCAGGTAAACTAATGAAACAGGGTTCAGTGACTTCAGCTGTGATTCTTTTGGAATTCAATTACTTCTGTTTGTAATGCTTTCTAATTAGGCTTCTGTCAAGTTGCAGTTTTTATAGCCAAAGTTAGTTCTCAAATTGTTGACTTTGAAATGACACATAGCCATCAAATGAAAATTTATTTTCTAAAAATGTCATATTTCTTTTCAGTACTTTTAAATTATGAGGGCATTTTGAGGTCCTCATCAACAATGGAGGAAACAGATAGGGAAGCAGTTGCAACAGCTGTTCAGAGAGTAGCGGGAATGCTTCAGCGTCCTGATCAGCTGGATAAAGTGGAGCAGTATCGCAGGAGGGAAGCTCGTAAGAAGGCTTCGGTAGAAGCTCGACTCAAGGTACAAAGTTTAATAAACCTGAATGTCCATGGCACAGCATGAATGTACTTTCTTTTTTTTTCCTTCTGTTTTTTCCTTCTACATTTTGATCCAGATAGTTTTAAACCATGGACTTTCATTTTTGCTCTGTGTCCAAAACAGAAACTTTGCATCCTGAAGGTAACATAAACTAATGCTGTAATCTTACTGTAATTTTATTCAGGCATTTCAAGTGGTCTTATGTCCTGTAAGTTCTGCAGTTTATATGTGGACAGCTACCCTCATGCTGTATAGCCTATCAGCCAACAAACCTTTGTCTTAATGTTTGAATACTGAACTTGTAACAGAAAATTGATGATTGCATTTGAAAAAATCAGTCGGTTTAGTCTCTGACTTTTACGTGGGTTTATGGAACATAGCTAAAATCTATCACATTCTTGTCTCTTGTGGAAGTGTACTCTATAATTGTCCCCCTCCTTCACATGTGTACATGTAAGTGCACACATGCACACCCACGCACACAGACTTATGGTCATCCTATGTTTAGTGTCTATATGCTACTGAGTTCTGTGGCTTTTTTTCCTTCAGTGGTGCTCACTACCCAACAGTCATCTTAGACTACTATATTAAGTAATTGGAGTAGAGCCTTAGAACAGTGTTTTGGGAAATATTTTTGAGTTTACCAGATAAAAATAGCTTGTATACACTGTATCTACTCTTATGTTTCAGAATAAGTTAGTTTTTATGTTACAGCTGTTTGATGGCTCCATCTTTGTGGGAGTCAGTGTGAAGTAAAAGACAACTTGTCTTCTTTCATAGTGGAAAAAAATCTGTTAGCAAATTAGATGTTAATTTTTGGCTGTAGCATAGAAACAGAAATATTCCTGTTGACTCGGACTGGGTTTTTCAGATTTAAGGCAGGAAGAATATAGTGGAGTCTATTAAGAATGGATCAACTGTTTAGTTACTGTGATCTATTTATAATACATGAGCATAGTCATTTGCCTACTCACTGCTTCTACAGACAGTGATGACTAAACTCTGTAAGTTTTTTGTAAATGCCTAAATCCACTTTATGGCTAGGAAGTTTCCTTGGCCACCTAAGGAAAACGGCTTAACTTCAGTCATCTATAGATGGTCAGAAATACCTGTTAGAAATACTAGTGAAGCAGTATTTTTAAGGGTTGGTATGTAGCGGAACTCTGAAATGATGGGTGGATAAGCTCGAGCTAGTACTGTAGGCTGGCACTTCTGGCTCTGCAGTCCAAAATGTAGGTGAAGAGCTGCTTGGACTCTATTCCAGAGCCTGAAAAGTTATCAGCATTGACAACTGTCTTTGCTTGTGCGCTTATTCAGTCAATGGGAGAACTTAGGGTTTGATTTTCTCTCACCCTGAAGAAATACTGTATACATATCCTAGGAGAGTTCCTAGGTCATGGATTTTCCTGAGTATAAACATGCTTGAGTCCTCTACCTTTTGATTCTTAGCTCCTGTGCAATCATGAATTTGAACCAAGCCGCTGGGGAGACCAGGCAGCCAGGACCCTGGTTCCATGACTTAATGTTGAGGGCTGTCACTTGAAAAGAGATAAAAATTAAGTTTTGAGCCCTGTTCCTAGGATGGCTTGGGCCTGTTTTTCATTTTTGTAATACAGTGATGGTGAGTCTCATCTAAGATGAATATGCATTCTAAGAAGCAAAATCCACAAGGCTAGGACATGCCTTGCTCCCTGCCCCCCCACCTCTGCCCGGCCCCAACTGACTATTAGAAGACAAACCGAACATGGGTGGGTGCCTGGTTTTAGAATTTTCCTTGGCCATTTTTGTCGGTGGCCAAGATCAGTGATTGTTTCTGTTTAACATAGTCAAGTTTCTGCCAAAGTTATAAGTAGTAAAAAAATTGAATACATAATACTTAGAAGATCTGCCTCAGAGGAAATTGAAATAGCATATCAAAAGTATTGAACATTTAATGATCATGTGATTTTTTTTAAATTTTTTTTTTAACTTTATGGTCAGCTTCAGAAGATTGTGTTTGAGTATCATATTGAATGTTTGAGTATCTTAATTATCTCTGTATCTGTAGGGA